GAACCAGATGATAGGCAAACCTATCTCCCCTTTGGTAAATGTTAATAAACTTTGCATACAAATTTTTACCTTTTTTAATTAATTTGAAAACTTTGACACTTTCACTTAAAAGAAGCACTTTGCAGTTTCCCTTTGGTATATTTAAAATGTCAGCATGCCTACAGTTTGTTTTGAGAGCATTAGTGAGTAAAACTTACAAACTATCTATTTATGGATTTAACAGTGGTTAGCTGAAAGCATGAGAAACAAAACCGTGGACTTATGGGAAACAATTGGACCCCAAAATTATTACAGAATGTTAAGAGGATGTTATATATATGAACTGCCAGCATCCCTTCCCTTGTACTTCGGCACCATTATTTAATAAAACTTATAAAATGTCGGATTGATTACAGGTAAAATGAAACTGTAGAAAGTTAAACCACAGATAAAGGGGAATCAGTATACTTTAACCTCATTGCTAATAACTCCTACAGTCTAACACTTGTGCCAAATCTGAAAGTTTCTTACAATATAAGAATGTAGGTTTGTGTGTGGGAATACAGAGATGAGAAAAACTGGTAGGGAAATCCGTTAGATATGGGTAAAGATAGGATATTTTTTTGCCAGGGTTCCTTATCTTTCCCAAGGGGTACATTCGGTTGATCCCCTTTGGGCTATGCACAAAAGAGATATGGACTGCACTCAGACGAGAAAAATAAACATAGCAACTCTCTCTATCTGTCTGTCACCAACCCAGCATATTAGTAATGGAAGACTTTGTATATATTTATATTTAGTATATAAAGCTGTTTATTTATTTATTTATTTTTTTTCTTCTCTTTCTCACCCTATTTTTTAAATTATGTGTTGGCAAGGGACCACAACAACTGAAGGGAAAGCCAAAAGATCTGATTTTAGAATCCTTTTAAGTACAAGAGAAGAGGGAGTGAAGCAGAGTATTGGAAGAATTATTTTGCATTCAAATGAAAAGAGATAGATGAAGAAATATTAAAAAAAAATATTTTACTCAAAATCTGGAACAGTACTGCTTAATTGAAATTTTATGGTAAAAACATTGTACAAAAATTATGTAAGGTCACTCTACGATCTATCAAATAACTCAGTACTCCATGTTGTGTCATTGGTAACTAAATAAGTTCCCTCACCAGGCTTTTCTGTTAAGATTTGATTGATTTAATTTGTTTTTTAAAGGCTAATCAAACCTTTTGCAGGTTATTTAAAACCAGGAAATATTTTTAGAGTGTAATATTTTTTTTGAGATAATAATGATTTACTGATACAAGTGTTACTAATTAACCCATAGCTGGTGGGAGAAGAGGTGGATTCATACCTTTCCTAAAGGTATTTGCATATCATTTGAATATAACAAACCCAACTGGAACTGGAAATTAGCTTGCTGATTTCCAGTTCTGAGTTATCCTTTACACTGTCAGCACATCCAAGACTCCAGCATCTGGTATTCCCTAGCACTCACCCATCTAGGTAATGACTAGGCTTGATGTTACTTAACTTCAGTAATCCTACAACAACTCTTATTTCAATGGAATATGGCTGTAAGCCTTCTTTTCTGGCAAGAAGAGCGAATAGACTCATGACAGTGTTAAAAACAAGGCCTGTCTCAAGAGTAGATGAAGTTTCTTGTAGGGTCAACAGCCATCTAACAAAATAGAGTAGACTGGGGTCTGTAATTATATATGCATCCTGTGATGACATGGTATTGTTGGACAGAGGGGGTACCTAGACTGAAATCAGTAATGGAGTATAGGGTACCTTTAATGGAATCAACAGTCACATGTTTATAACCAAGGCAGAACTTTCAGTTTGAAAAACATTGACTGTTGTTTTGATCTGGAGAGGGATGGGCTATGCCGACGATATGCTATGCTATAAATTAATGCTTCATCGGCTTTCAACTCAGATATATAGCAGGAATTGGTCAGGTGCTCAGTGGCACAGCAACCCTATGATCACACCTGATCATGAGATTGATGATAAAACAAAGCAAAAATTAATGGCTCCAGCAATTAATTTATCAAGGATTTATTGAGATTTGGAAAGGAATGGCTCAACAAAATATGTGCAGAAATAGAAAGAATGGACATCACAGATAAGACAGATAGGCATAAAATAAAACAATAATTAGCAGAACAAAAGATAAGCTCATTAACATGATGCATATAATCAAAAGAGGGAATGCTTATAATAGAATATCATAGGTATGATGATAAACTACATCCGGCAACATGGCCTCTTAATTGTAGTTGTTCCCAGGTTTACACTGACCTGGGCTGGTAGCCCCTGTTAGGGTTCCAGCTATGGGCAAATACGTACTGGGGTCAAAACACTATGAAAATATAAAAGTAGATTTTTATAGTAAAAATACCAGCAATACCTTTTTGAAAAAAATTATCCAGCAACACATTTTTTTAAAAAAAAATATTACCAGCAATACATTTTTGGATAAAAAAGAAATATTGCTAGCAACAGATTTTTGGAAAAATAAAATATTACCAGTGATAGATTTGACTCTCGACTAAAACCCTCTTTACTGAAGAGACACAGAACACATAACAAATTCTACCCTAGATATTCATTGATCTTAGCTTAGTAGCACATATTTACAAATGTGGAAAAATAGTTGTATGAATATTGTATTTCCCCCGGCCTTGAGAGAGCTTACGTGCCGTGTAATTCAATATTCAAAACACAGGTATTTTACCTGTATTTACACACCAAACATTGGCACCAATAAAAATATGTGATTAGTTTTTTTTTTTTCTTTTTTTCTAATTGCTTTGTCCCATTCAAGGCAGTAAATCCACTAAGACACAAATGGTTACTGAGTGTCAAGGAATAAGAAAAAGTGAAACATTACTAAAGAGTGAGAACAATAGAAGAGTAGTCAGGAAAACAGTAAATATCAATTGACATTGCCTTTAAATTTTTGAAGGTCAAAGTGGCCTAAAAAGCATGGATACAGAAGAGAGTTCCACAAGCAAGAAGTATGAGGAAACATCTAGCCAATTCAACTGTAAAATAATGAGACCGTGTTACTAATCTAGTACGATGGTTAAATTCATAATGCCTAAGTACCATAGTGAAAAGTGATATCTATTTCTGCTTCAAATACAGAAAATGTGGCACAAGGCTGAAAAAGGGGAATGGGGGAAAAGGACAGTCTTCTTCTGTCTTAACTTTAAATTTAGCTAGCCACGAACATTGATCCAAACATGCAACAATATTCCTTACACCAAAACAACACATTCTTACTTACCATAATACCTCATTGTCTCCAATCCTAACTAGTCCCCATATGTACAATTCATTGTCTGTGGGGGAGGGGGGAATAAAATAACAATTTTAAAAAAAAGAAAGAATTCATCCAAACATTTACTATGAAAGTATTTATAGAAAAGGCAAAGAGAAGCTACATTATGGCAATGGGAAAGTGACTGAAGCTGAGATGTAAGGTCAGGACCAATAATATTGCTGATTCTTCTTTGCATTTTAAGTTAGTTTCTGGAGATAAAAATTGTTTATCACAACACAGTGAACCAAATTTCTACTTTGGTAACAAGGCTGCCATTTATTAGGTTGGTGCAAAAAAATGACGTAATAATGTTTTTTGAGGTTAAAAAATACGTCACAAAACGACATTATTACATCATTATTTTTGCACCAACCTAATATTTATTAAATTTTCCTTAGCCTGACAAGAGTGTATAATTTGGATTATCCAGTATAGTTTGAATTCAGTATAATATTATATCACCAGATTTAGTTTGTTAACCATTAAACCACGGCACTTGAAACTCTTGTGGACACTATCATTTATGGAGACTGATTAACCTTAGTTTAGGATTGTATAAGGGATTTAGGAAAAGTTTGCTTTATCAGTTTTTTCAAGTTGAAAGAGTTGCCTACCTTGAAGAACATCAACTGAGTGGCAGACCCCACATCTTTTTGCAGACCCGCTAGAAATTGATACAACTTGCCGTAGATATTCCAACCTACCAGCTGTACTCACTTGACCTTGCAAATTCAAATTACAATTTATCATGAGAAATTGTTAAAGAATCGAAATAAGAAGAATCTCAATTCTCGGGAATTCTGTAAACAACCCTGAGACCATTTTCTCAAAGAGAATGATGCCAAGTTCTGGGAGGATGGAATCATGGAGCTGTGTCAAAAATGCTAAAAGTTAGTGAAACAAAATGGCATATATGTGGTTGAATGAATCTATCGATAAATATCTAAATATTGTCTTTGAATTTCACTTAAAATATGTTATGGACTTTTGTTTCAAACAAATGATAGCATTAAATATACATGGATTATGAGAAGCAGATTTTCCATGTTGTGATTTTGGAAATAAAAATGAAATAAAAATAAAATGGAAAAAACCAGTGACTCCTTGTTTTGTCTTTCACAAGATACCGTCTTCTTTTCTACAACTTCAGGTAAATATGTTTGAATATCTTTACCAGAAGCGACAGACCACCCAACCTTCTTTCAATTTTACAAAAAAAAAAAAAAAAAAAGTGTAAAGAGAATAATAAATAGATAACTTGGCAAAAAAAAAAAAAAAAAAACCCAAATGGAAATGCTTTCCTGAGTTTGTGGGTGGCCAAACCATGTTAATAAAATATACTTACTCCTGAGGAATAAAACTTCACGAGCAAAACCAGATATTCTGTCCAGGTACTTCCTTGTAAAGATAATGGTATATACCATTAAAAGAATAAATTTGTTATTGTTATCAGTGAGTTAATGTTGAAAAAATCTGTTTTTTGAGGATGTGTTCATTCAAAGAATTTGTTTTAAGGTCTAGCTTTTAATTTGCTCCCAGGTGCAAAATATATTAAAAAAAAAAATGATGACGTCTTTCTTAGAGTTAAATTAAAATAATGATTGAAATATTTTTTTTAAATTAAAAAAAAGAAAGGCTAGTTTATACTTCTGCCACTGCCCCCAAACATGGAGGCTTTTGGCCATTT